ACTCTCTGTATAGCAGAAGTCCAGGCATTCTGATGATACTCTACATATGGCAACAGTCCGGACATTCTGGTTAAACTCTCTATATAGCAGCAGCCCGGACATTCTGATGATACTCTCTGTATAGCAGAAGTCCAGGCATTCTGATGATACTCTACATATGGCAACAGTCCGGACATTCTGGTTAAACTCTCTATATAGCAGCAGCCCGGACATTCTGATGATACTCTCTGTATAGCAGAAGTCCAGGCATTCTGATGATACTCTCCATACGGCAACAGTCCGGACATTCTGGTAACACTCTATATAGCAGCAGCCCGGACATTCTGATGATACTCTCTGTATAGCAGAAGTCCAGGCATTCTGATGATACTCTACATATGGCAACAGTTCGGACATTCTGGTTAAACTCTCTATATAGCAGCAGTCCAGGCATTCTGATGATACTCTCCATATGGCAACAGTCCGGACATTCTGGTTAAACTCTCTATATAGCAGCAGCCCGGACATTCTGATGATACTCTCTGTATAGCAGAAGTCCAGGCATTCTGATGATACTCTCCATATGGCAACAGTGCGGACGTTCTGATGGTACTCTCCATACGGCAACAGTCCAGGCATTTTGGTAACACTCTCCATGTGGCAGCAGTCCGGACATTCTGAATACACTCTACATACAATATGACCATGTTCTTCTGCAGCAAAATGCTTGTGTGATGCCTTATGTTGTCTTGTTTAACTTGATATTTTTAACCTATTGGATCCTTCAATGATCTGCTTGTGCAAAATGCTGACCTTGGACCTCAAATCTAGGTTTGTGTAACAACCTTCGCTATGATCGGGTTTACATCCTCTCTGTCACAACTCCATATGTCTGGAAGTGGACATCTACGTCTATAACTGTTGTTGTTGAAGAGTAATTTTGATCGCTATTATCGGGTTTACATCCTCTCTGTCACAACTCCATATCTCTGGAAGTGGACATCTACGTCTATAACTGTTGTTGTTGAAGAGTAATTTTGATAATTTGTTGTTCAAAATATTGCATTCGTTATTTTTTATACCTTTGCCATTGACATTTTGGATAGTTTTATATTGTCCCCCAATGGGACAGCAGTAAGTGTACAGACTTGCAACGCTAAAATCCTGGATTCGATTCCCCGCAGTGGAAACAGCAGATAGCCCAATGTGCCTTTGCTCTAAAACAAACATAGTTCTATATTACTTCCCATTTACTTTATGAAATGAAATATTGCTAATGTTAATATAATAAAGTGTACTAAGTAGATAAAAAGACTATCAAAACTGATGACACTACAAGTTGCACCCTGTTATAAATTTAATTAATATATATAATGGAAAGGAAATCAGTTATATATATATATATTTCCAATTAACACAGAAGCTAGTATTCATGGGGCTCCAGGCATGTCAGTGGTAAGTTTTCGGACTTGCAATGTGGTGGAGAGAGCGCAGATAGGCCATTACGTATCTTTGGGCTAAAAAACAAAACAAAAATATTATTTACGGCTCTCTCTTGTGACTAGTTATTGTAACCAGAATCTCTGCGAACTGCAATCATATACCCAAATGAAAATCAATATTTAGATGTTATTGTCAAATATTATTGAAGATAAATATAAGTCTCACTCTATTGGCGAATGGAATCTAAAGACGAACATGACTTAAAATTAAAATCATAAATAATATTCAACGTTAAACGGGTACACAATTAAAAACATTTTATTTAAGCCTATCTACGGCCTTCAAAAAGTTGACGACTCCACATGTTTCGACGTTGCAACGTCATCCTCAGGAGTGTAACGTCGAAACATGTAGTCGTCAACTTTTTTGAAGGCCAAAGATAGGCCCAAATAAAATGTTTTTAATTGTGTACCCGTTTAACGTTGAATATTATTTATGATTTTAACTTTATACACAAGTGCCAAAATACTATTAACATAAGCAGTGTCTGTTTGTTTGAAGTTAAGCACAAAGCTACACAAAGGGTTATCCGTGTTTCTAGCATTGTAAGTGCACAGACATGCCGCTGTGCCAATAAAGGGGGGGGGGGTAATTTTGTTACTGTCTTCATAAGTATATTCTTCCAAACATTTTAAAGTTGCTTGCTTCTATTGCCATTACCACATCGATGTGGTGGTTTTTCTAAACCTTTTTCAAAAACTCTATCAACAAGAAAAATTGCAGAACAACACGCTGGTTGATTGATTCTCTGAGAGTGAAATCCTGTAGCCCTATTTAGTGAACAACGACTTAACAAATGGATTCCGTATGTGTTTCTGTTAGTGTTGTTCAGTATTTATGCTTTTATATTCTCACTCCCAAAAGTCTTTGTACTTTCTTCCTTGTAAGTCTGTCTTCAGGAAAATGTGTTCAACACAGAACTACTAATATGTTAATGATTCACTACTAACCTTTTCTTAACCAGAAATACCATTACGTATTTTACCTGCTTTTAAAATGGAAACGGCAGATAATAAGAAATCTGTAATTTTTTATCTGAACATTATGATGATGTTTAGGTGAAATTGTTTTCATAATTATTATCATTTTTTACCACTTGTTTCTATCGTAGATTTAGGTGAAATTTTTTTCATAATTATTATCATTTTTTACCACTTGTTTCTATGGTATATTTAGGTGAAATTGTTTTCATAATTATTATCATTTTTTACTACTTGTTTCTATCTATGATATATTTCAGTGAAATTGAATTAACTTTAGAGTCATACCAAATAGGTCCACTAGATAACAGGAGATTTGCTCAAGATTATGGAAGGGAACTAAATCACTTAATAGCTAAGTCAATGTAAAATGAAGTAACGTGACTGGACACAGAGGTGAAATACAAAACACTAAATGAATAAGCTTTACAAGAACACTAAACACGAACAGTGTTTGTATACTTGCTGTTATTTATATGGGACGATCACCTTTACTGAACCACAGAACTGACTACTAAAGACCAAATTACAGATTACATTAACTAAAGGATGTTCCAGTCATGACTGACTAAATACAACAGTTCTCAGTTTGTAAAAAACCTCACATTTACCCAGGAGTTTCACTACCCGCATGACTCATTACAACATAGGTGGGGCTGTAACTATTAGAACAACCATTGAAGGACACTGCTACTGACATCCTTACTTGTGTTATATTGATTAATATATTCCCCAGGTGGTAACAGGTATTATCCATTTCCAAGAACAACAAAGGTAGCTTTAGAATGAAATTAATTTAATGGCTTTCTCGACTATATGCTATGTCTATTCTGCACATAAAAGAACAAATGATAAATTCAAAATAAATAGTGTAATATTTCAAGAAGATAGTCTGTTCAAATATGACATTCATACAGCACAAAAGATGTAATCAATCAGATATTTTTGTAAAGACTGATTTTTTTTTTTTACGGCTACTTAGTTTACCCAGAAAAATGTTTGTTTTTGTTTGTAGTAAGCGAGAGTTTGACATCTTGATCAGTAAATGGAGAACGAGTGATGAGTCAGACAGAGACCCACTTTTATCAGTGTCTGATTCAGAGTTTCTAGCTCTAAAAGATAAAGTAAGTATTTGTGTCTGTATCAAATGATGTTTGTGTCTTTCAAGTTTTAACAAATATTTTTTCTGGAACGTTTTTTAGTACATTAATTTGTTGCATGTAACTCATTTTCCATCACTAACAGAGAAAATTCTCAATACCAACGTTTTAAGTATTCATTTTATACAGTGTTGATTACGCTTCAGTCTAACAAAAGTAAGTAACTCTATCTGTGCCATAAAATAACTTGGTTATTCATCATATTTCTAGCTTCAAAAGATTGCATAATTTTTGAAAGTATCTAAGGTGTTATGAAGAATTGGAACCGTTAGATATTATACTTAAAACGTTGTCATAATTTGAGTAGCAAGATGGACTAGTGTATAGATAGTAAGTTTTTAGCAGTGAAATATATATTATTTCCTCTGTCTCTGTTATGTCTCTCTTTTTTCTTTTTTTTTACTTTCTAAATTTCAGGTAACTAACTATATATTCATTTTGGATGTTCAACTTCGTAATTTCTAACCAATTGGTTTTAAAGATTTTATTATTTCCCTCTCTATTTCTGGTTTCATACAATTGTGTCCAAGTAGTTTTGTATCCCAGCTTTTTTGGAATAAGTCTTAGCATTGATATGTAAAAAGAGAGAGAGTAGAAAAAGCACTAAAAGTTGTCATGTCTTTTATCTGTTGATGAATATTGAGAATTTTACTGGAAAGTTTCTAAACAAATAAGTTTGTGCTACTAAAGAAAGAACAATATCGAAACATTTTGCACTGACGTATGACTTCTGATCTTTTGTATTATTTTGTTTGGCCTCAGAATAACTTGTGCATCTTTTGGTTAATGAACAACCTACTAACTAAAGTGTCGTTATTGAGGACATGTATAACTTATGAAGTTTTAACATAACATATAAATACAAATAACCTTTCACTTTGTCTGCTCTTCTTAGATAAGTTTCTATTTTGTATGTTTTTATTAATGAAAGTAAAATGTTTAGTGAAACATTATTTGAGTAGTTCTCTTGTTTCATCTAGACTCGTCGTCACATCCGACTTCGTGAGTTACTGCTCCAACACTCTCACAGTTCATCATTAATTGTCATGTAAGATATATTCTGATATTAGTTATAGTAACTTATAGGAATATGAATTGTTATAGATTTAAATGTGTGTTAACACTAAAGTTGGGGTCATTGTATCTGCACCAAGTAGAAAAAATTTGGATCTCTATTTTTATACAACATAAACATTTTGTCAGTTTTTGCTTTTCCTAAGTAGTTTTCTATAGCAAAAAAAAATGTACAGGTTTTATGGTGTCACATGTTACAGTTACATTCTATACATATGATGCTACTCCATCATGCATGAAACAATTCAAATAAGAACTCTGTAGCTATAGTATCAGTCTATAAATAACTCAGTGTATCTAAAAACTCTCATCTATAATTTCAAAGCTGTGGTTACTCGACCTGCTGTAAAAAGTCTGTATTCCAGTTCTTGTGAATGATAGCAAAGTTAATTCAAATAAAATGATAATAAGTAAGCAGCATTAAAATAAGATAAAGAATGTCGTGTTATTAATTCTTCCTTATACATCCAATATGTAAGTAACATAATTGAAATTCATAATAATTACAATGAACTTGCTTAATCTGCCCTAACAGTTGTTGTTAAAAAAAAAATTAATGATATATATTTATATGTAGCATCTAGACCACTACTGCATCTGTCTTATCTCAGCTGATATAAAGAGCCCTGGTATTGAATGAAATGCCTTTATGGCACTGGATACAGCAGATGTAATATCGTTGACATATTATAGCATTTTCCTTTGATTTTATTGGGGGGCCTGGCATGGCCTGGTGGTTAAGGCTCTTGACTCGTGATCAGAGGATCACTGGTTCGACTCCCTGTCACCAAACATACTCACCATTTCAGCTGAGGGGCATTATAATGTAACAGTCAATCTCACTGTTCCTTGGTTAAAAAGTATCCCAAGAATTGGTAGTGGTTGGTGTTGACTAGCTGCCTTCCCTCTATTCTATCACTGCTAAATTAGGGATGGCTAGTGCAGGTAGGTCTCGTGTAGCTTTATGCAAAATTCAAAACACACCAAACTATTCTTTGCTTTCATTTATGGATTCCTAGAATAAATAGTCATTTTTCACATTAGTGTTTTCTTTTTTTTGATTTGTTTGAAGCTGTTAGCTTTAGTTTCAAAATAACCAGTTTTTTATTGTCTTTGGTAGGACCTTACCCATGCCTAGGAAAGGAACTTGCTCTGCTCCTATGTACATGGCCTGGTTGGAAACACTCACAAGAAACATGCCTCCTTTCCTACTGATAAGAGGCAATCAGACTAGTGTATTGACTTTCTACTCCTGAACATTCACTTATCTATCATGAAAAACAAAGAACTATGCTTATAGTAGATTTTATAAAGCATTTCCATTATCTTCTGTAATTACTTTTTCTATGTTAGTTATAGGGACGATCTTAGTTTTAACAATATCTTCATTATTTCTCTCAGTATGTGGATACAATTGATCCACGTTAGATTACATTCATAGTCTTAAGTATTGTTTTCTCTACTCTTAGATTAAAATAGTAAACCTTTTTCAAAATGGCATTAGTTAACACTCTTAGCTCTCGCTCTTAAGGCCTTCCTTTTTTGAGATGGCATTTAGTGTTAACATACTATAAGGATGCCATCCATTTATATAATAAGAAATCAAAGGGTTTGACCCAGCTGTGTTGTGATTAAAGGTGACATCTTTCAATCTTGTAGTACTGCAATATAAGATCCACGTCTTCTGTAATATTGATATCATTCTAACATATTTATGTAACATGACAAGTCGTATTTCAGTACAATTTAAGCTCTTTCCATTTTAATGCCTGATGATCCTCATTACAAACACAAACTTTAAGTTGTGTACCAGCTTCACCTACTTAAAGATCATGGTATTTTTGAGAAAAGTATGATGGGTTTCTTAGGTGTTAGTTTGTTGTTTTCAATTTTAGAAAGAGACTACACTTGAAGAATACTTTTCTGCTTTAAGGACTTTAATGCCACTTAAACACAATTTTCTTGTTAGTCCTGCACTGATGTTATTGGGTTATAAACATCATAATATTACAGTTAAAATGAGGTTCTTCCAAAAGAATTCCTATAACAAGTATTAATTTGTAAAATGTTCTTTACACGTATGAGTGTTTTTTCTTGTTGAACTAGCTAGAGCAACTAATAACTGTCCATCAAATAGTGCTTTAAAAACTGTGATTTAACATTCTCAAATAAATATGTATATGAACCGATACTGAGAAGACCCTTATAAAAATTATATTTTCAATAGATGGTGATACTTAGACAATCTTTTCATTTCCTTAGAAAGTTTATTAAATTATTTTTGTGCACTTAAATAAGATATAAAAATACCTCCATCACAATGATTAACAATTTCTTGTCATACATAAGCCACAAATTTTTAGACTCTTTAAATGAATCAAATGCTAATGTATCTGTTTGCTTGGTAATATATAAGTGGGATGATAAGATAAGCTTTCAAATAGTTGCAAGTAGAGTGAGAGTGACTAATTCACTAAGATTTTGGTCATTGTTCAATCTAGTTTCAACCAGTGCAAGGTTTGTAATAACTGGTTAAATGTAAACAGCATAATTATAGCTTACTAGATTGTGATTTGCTTAGATTTAGAGTATTTCAACAAGTTCACTGTGAGACTTGTGACAAACGTTATGTAGATGGTGCCTTTAAATATTTAAAAATTTTGTGTTGACAAACATAAAAATGCATCAACTTGTAACACAGAAGTCTTAAATTCTACCATGATAAGCTACATATCTAACTAATGGTTTACCATTGAAATTATGTTAATATTATATTCTGATCACAATTTTGAGTCTGATGTGTTGCTAAATTGGAAGATGTCACCTTAAATTGTTCTACAATACAACAGCTCTTTTCGCGGCTATATGAACCCATGTTCCTTTAGTACACAAGCACTGACTGCTGTCTCTACTGGAAGTTTTCAGAATCTTAATTAGTTGGAAATAATTATGATTTCAGCTGGTTATTCTAATAAAGCATTTAATCCATTATCATAGTGGTTTTAATCTCTTCTAGAATTACATTTGAGCTATTGCTCATTTTGATTTTTGTGTTGTTGTCGTAGCATAATTTATTAGCTGTGTAGTAGCGTATATATATGTGTACATTAGAGTAAGTTATACAGAACCAAGTGTTCTTGCACATTTTTTCCTCTTCCTCGTATTGAATTAGAAAATAAGTGATAGTCAGTTTCTATTGAGATATTTCTTGTGATTTTCCTAGATGGTTCAAATTATAATTACCTATTTGAAAAAAAGAAAGGAAAAAAAAAGATTCTTCTATGCACCTAGTTTATGTACTTAAATAGTGGTTTGAAAAACACATACATTTCGTTTTTCAAAATACGAAACAAGCAAGTCTATCTGTCGGAAATATTAGCTTGCATATATGTTGCCATATATGCTGGAAAAACATAGTTAAAGTCAATATGTAATTAAAGATTTAAGTATTCGTTAAAGGTGATGTGACCGTGAAAAGATTTTCTTCATCGTTACACTGTCCAGTTTTAAAGTAAAATTATATATATTTATTTTGCAAAATATTTTTTGTTTGAGGAAAGACTGTGCTTTACATACATATATTTTTTTATCCACTTTAATTATACTTGATCAAATTGTTTATTAATAAAAGTTGTTGAATTTATTTCAATTGTTCAGATTTCTTGATTGTTAAATTGACTATTATAATGCAAATTCCACATCTAAAACATTCTAGTGTTATTTTTAGGGAAATTGTTAAAACAGTGTTCTTCTTTTGTTTTTTACCACAATGAAAATGGCATATAATTTACTCTGGAAAATATCAGTGTATTTATTGTTTATAGTTAAAAAAACTGTATTATTAGAAATTTTTAAAGATACTTAAAATGACACTAAAACAACAAAGTGTTTTTATATTTTTATCTTGAAATTGACTATTTGTTTGAAACCAGTGACAACCATACCAAAAATGTGTTGAGTAAAATGGAAGATTTACTGTCCTTTTCCAGGAGAAAAAAAAATTGTCAGTTGTTTATTAATGTGAGCTTTACACACATAAAAAAAATGTACAAAGTGATATTTTTTTTTTGCATGGTTTTATAGGCTACATATGTTTTTGTATTAAGAGAATTGAATTCTCTTATTTGTTATATTCTTATTAATTTTTGTAGTTTAACTTTAAGAGGCCTGATAATATAAGTGCCTTTTTGTAAATATTACTGATCTAGATATGTTATTGTGTAAACATCATGTTGTTTTAAAGATTCACATTTCTTTCCGTAAGAAGTAATTTAAATGTCATTTTTATACATTTCATATTAATTTTCCTTGTTATATCTTAATGTTTAAAAAAAGGTTCAAGATTTATAAACAAAATATTTTTGTTATAGAAATATACACATTTAATTGTTATTTTAGTTAGTTAATTTTAGTTCATAGCATTGACATTAAATAAGGACCATGTACAGAATGTGCTATGTTATTTCCCTAAAGTTATGATATAAAAATGATACCTGTTCTTTGAATATATTTGTATTTAACCCAGAATATAAATGACATAACCAATACCCTCTCTACTGTAAAAATTAGTATATAACAAACTCCCCATCAATAACTAAAATGTATTACTGTTAAAATTCATTTATTACCATGATATTTTATATTTTTTAAACATATGATAAATATCATTATTTGTTAGAGCAGACTGGGTTATTAGCAGCAAAAGCCTCAAGTTGACTTATAATCTTTCAGAATTACTTGTTACTGTGCCAGTTTGGTCCTGAATGTACAAGGTACCTATAACTGTTGGTTATAGAGGGTGTTTAATCTTGTCTTAAAAAGCGAACAATTAGGTATGGACTTGCGTTACTGTCAAACAAATTAACAGCAGTACAGTAGTTCTAGAGCAAAAACTTTTTAACTATGATTAGTGTGTATTTTTAGCTGAGTAAGAAGTTTTAAAAAGTTACTAGAAATATATCTTTTTACTTTAGTATGTTTGAGGAAATAAACCTCCATTGTTTAGTTCATTCTTATATGTGATTAGAAAATATTGATGTGGGTACTTCATTTATATGGAATGATATTATTATATTAGCAAATGTTACACTGTTTGCACATTAATTTAAATCTGGTGTTCAAACTAAATCATAAATGTTAATACTAGTTTGTTTGTTTTTTACTGGAAATTAACAATTTCTTTACCTTTGTGAAAGAAAAGCTCATAGTAATTCTTAGAATTTACGATTTTACATTTTTCTGTACCACGTCCCTTGGTTTACATCCAGGCAATCTACAAACCTGTTTTGAATTTACACTTTCAGACTTTTAATAATGTTTTAATTATTTTGTCAGTTCTGAAAAATATAATATCAAGCATCAAGACAAATCATTTCTTATTTTCAGTCATTTCTCTGTATTTGAATTATACCCATTGTATATATATATATATATATTTAATATTTTAAGATTAAAAACGATAATACCAAAGTTTTTCTGTTGCTGACATATTTGAAGATTCTTTTTTTAAAACATGCAAGTTCCATTCTTGTAAAACGGTCATGACTGTGAAGAAATATATATTGTAATGTAAATATAAAAAGTATATTCTAAAGCTTGACATAAAGATCTGTAACGTAAACAGGCTCATTGATTCAGTGTAAGTGTAGATGTGTCTGTTTTTCAGGTATTTATTCGATGTTGTTTTGCAAAGTTTCAGCTTCTTATGTTAATTAACTTATTGATTCAGTGTAACTACATGGAATGGAGTCGTTTTTTTAAACTGCCTTGTTAGAATATTACTTCGTGTGGCAACAGCTGGTTGTAATATACCATAGAAACAAGTAGTAAAAAATGGTATCATCGATTCACAGATCTTGAACTCCTACTTATCCGAGCCTGAATCAGACTGCATGGTATCACCAATTCACAGATATATCTTGAATACAAAATACTTTTTGTAATGCATCTGATTTTTTTATGTATAACAGATATGTACATATTACTACTTAAAGTTCACTTAGCATGTTTTGTTTAGATGCATGTAATAATTTCGGAATTATAGTCAACATTCCTTCCCCAATACAAGGTCAATCCAGTAGACTGACCTCATTCACATTCAGTTAACATGATATATCTCATGTTTTTTCTGAAAAAAATTGGATATGGTATGGCTCCAGGGTAGCCCTGGATTTAATATGTTGGTGTTTAGATGCTGCTGACTGGCTGCCATCCCTCTGGTCAGTAATTAAAAGTTATGGATGGCAGAAGATGACCTTAGTACCTTTGTCATAAATATAATAACTGAAAAAATCTGCAGTATACACAGTGTATCTGAAAATGATATTTGCTTTGTAAGGTTAGAAATTAGTTTTAGTTTTTTTATTATGTGTTTGACATGTTATTTTATTCTAACTCTAATTGTTGTATCTCTGGTGTAATGTATAGTTTTTGTCATTAGCCATTTACTTATCCTAGTGCTGTTTATAGTTGAAATATTTGTGGAAATCTGAAAACTTTGTGGATAGGAAAATCCATGTTTTTTTCTTTGATCTTTCTAATACTATGTAGTATGTAAAAATTACATTATGTGTGTGTTAGTGTGTCTGTATGATGAAGATTTTCAGAGTCTTTGACACAATGATATATTATGTCAGAAAAATTTTAAATAATTCAAATAGTTAAAAAAATCATTTATGTAATATAATGCCTTTGGTATAGTTGGTTGAATTAAAAGACTACCAGATATGTGTTTCAGTATATATGTTTCTTTTTCTCCCTGTATAATTATATAAACTAAACAAATATTTATATGCACACAATGTATGTGTATACTGAGAGAGAAAATAAAGCTAAGTGCATCAACTTGTATGTTATTTTTGTTTTCTCTATCTGTAATATTCTGATTTTGTCAGCTGGTCGGTGTAGGCAAGCTTCGTCCAAACATGATTTTTATGGGCTACAAAAGTGACTGGCAAGAATGCGAGGAACAAGATGTTTTGGAGTATTTTAATGTCATCCAGTAAGTCTTTTTCTCTTCAATTAGTGAGGTATATTCCTTGAATTTTTTTCCTTGTGTATTTTAAGAGAATGTGTATTATATATTGTATAACAAATAGTATACTCTCCAGTGATTCAATATTCAATCTCTACAGTGGGCGTGGCACAGATAGCACATTGTTTAGCTTTGTACTTAACAAAATACAACATGTTAAAGGAAGAAACATCTCTACTAATTTTTTGGTTTATTATTATTAAATATATTATGCAAAATATTTTATTTTGTGTATGATTATAAGACAGCAAGGTTAAATACTGGTTTTTTATACATACCCAACTTGTTTAGGAACAACTTTTCGAATAAGTGTGATGGTAAGATATGGTAATGGGTTAAACAAATATTAAGTCATGTACACCTGTATCAGTACAGTAATGTATAATACATGTACAGTCCTATACATTTATATTTTTATCTACAAAATGTAAAGGCATGGGCACAAGCCTCCTGATAGCACCAAATAAATTTTAAAAATTATTCTCAAAGGCCAGATGTAAGCATGCCCAGACTGTGAATCCAAGTGTTTTTGGCTCACATCCCATTGTTGCAAAACATGATTTAACCTTTTGGGTCATAAGTGTACTATAAGAGCGATGGTCAAATACATTTATTTTTTTCGGGCAAGATTTTACAGTGGGTTCTGTTGACCAGATGTTTTTCCTCTGGTATATATATTAGTTCAAAATTAGGGATGCCATGCACAGATTGTCATTGTTTAGCTTTGTGCAAAAATCCTATTCTCCTGTACCTAGCACTTACCTCTGTAACAATCGGTGACCCAAAAACAAGGTACGAAAGTGCAAAGGGACATCTTGGGACATTTCTCACGGTGCTTCATATTAGTGATATTTTTCTTATATCTTGCAGCTGTTCCTTATCTTTCATCATAGAATAGTTAAAATGAAATATGAACAGAGAAACTAAGAAGTTAAAGGTTGATATTATGAATGTCAGATGTGTAAAATATTAATTTTGAATTATGAAAAGTAATTATTTCTGGTTTTTCTAAATCTTTAAACTTTCATTTCCAGTGATGCATTTGATATGCACATGTCCCTGGGAATTTTACGACTTCAAGCGGGCTTTGATTATTCAGAATATGATATTGCTGAGGAGAATGGAAATATTATTGAGAGAAAACCAGATTTGCAGAGAGAAGAGTCTTTTCTTAATTTTCCACGAAATATCTCTAGTGCACAGCTGTCAGGTTAGTAAATGTGTTCTTGTAAAGCCGTTTTTCATATAAAACATTACTTTAAAATGTATATGTATAAACCAGGTATGAATAAAATTTGTTCATTGATCATAGCTTTAAACTTTTGTTTCTTATTATTCATGGAATTTTTTTCAAGTTTCACTTTTAATAAAATAATATAGGATGATTACTGACTGATGTGCCTGTTACAAAAAAGATATAGTGTATAACAGTCTTAATAAAATAACTTAGTGTAATCACTGACTGATGTACTAGTTCGAACTATATATAATGTACAGGCTTAATGAAGTAATTTGCTCTAAATACTGATGGATATACCCCTTCCAAAAATAATATAGTGTATAATAGGCTTAATAAAATAATTTCAAAATGTATATAGTGTATATCTTTCATATCTAATTTTGAAAAACACATCAACATTCAACAGGATGTTCCTAATACATACATCTATAGTAATGATTCATTAATCCCATTACATATACATTATTATATTGTGTAAACCATAATAATACTGTAAACATTATCTAAGAAGTTAATATTTACATCAAAAAGTAAGGACTGCATTACAAACAGTAAGACCAAACCTATGATGAAATAAAACATGTTTATAATATCAAACAAGCCTTAAACAAAAATGCTGCACAACGAAACAGAACTACCAGGGCATAGGCTGCTGTAATGTATGGTACAAGATGTGTCCTAGTTTTATAATAGAAGAATATGGAATATTCTTGTTAGGAGAGAGGGTGCTGTATATTGGAAAAGAATACCTCTTTCTTTTATCCAAAATATTTGAATTAATATCATTATTAAGTGTTTTAATTTCCAGATCTAAATGATGTACATCTTATACAGAAATAGTTATTTTATTCTAGTATATTTTTTTCTGCTGTCCTACTACTATTACTTTATTAATTTGAGTATTAACTACCATAATGGGGGCTGGAATGCCAACTTCAGGAGGTAAGGTTTTTTTACTCACCACCTCCTAGTGGTAGGCACTTTTCTTTCCCTTTTTCTTATTTATTTTTTACTTTTTTCCTCTGAGAATGGGCACCTTCCCACAACTATCTGCAGGCAGTGAAGGGTGATATAGATGTGGGATGTTGTGATATCCACATCTTGTTCTCTTACCTTTTATTTTAATTTTTTCTTATTTTACTCTTATTTTTTATTTATATGCGAGGTTTTGCAAACAAAGGTTAAGAGTGATAGACAATGTATCCCCACCTACTTCTACAGTCACCTCGAGAAACCATGACACGTTTTATACTTCACGTTATAGCCTGTAACCTGGTGGCTTTGTTTTCTTGTTAAGCATTTTTGTTTAAGGCTTGTTTTATATAACAATAATGTATATTCAAAATACAAAAATAAGTTTCACTAAAATACTTTGATATTATTTTATACATTACAGTATTAATTCATTGAATATTTTTCTGATGTTTTCTTACTTGCTTATAGTTCTTTTACTCATTTTTGTCATTGAATTACAAAATGCTTTGTTAGTCCACATTTACACACACACACACAAGTTGTTAGTTCATGCTATCCATTTTCATAATTTTAATGTTAGCCATACATAGTAAAAGGTTTTATGTCATAGCAAAAATTACATTTTAATACCACATGTAAAGAACAAATAACCTTGTTGAATCATTTAGTCCATCAAAAAGATTAATGATTATTTAAAATGTCAAAAACATAAATGGTGCAGGATTTGGTTAAATTGACTTTAAAAATTGAACAGTGTGACAAATATCAAATTATTCAAAAAATGAGAGCAAAAGCTGATTTTATTAGTTATTTTCTAATATCAAGAATACAACATTTTACTGTTTGATTCAGTTTTGTTTGTTTTTTGGTATTGAGAATCAAACCCTAGATTTTAGGGTTGTGGGTCCACAGATTTACAGCTGACCCACTGAGAAACAGAAAAATTTAATAAATTCATCAAAAGTTAAGCTTTTGAAATGCAATAAAATCAAAATTTAATATCTGAAAAATACTTTTCTCTGAGCCTCTTTATAAATATTTTAAGTTACTGTTTATATGAGAATGTTTTTCTTCATTAACTTTTCAATAATTAGATGCTATTAAATTGAGCTCTAAGCTATTCGAAATTAAAACAATTAAGTTGTCAGTTGTGTTCTAATTCTTATTTCATCAAAAAAATTTTAACAGTCAAATTTCTTTGTTTTTCTAATGAAATATATATATGTACACATACATACATATATACATACTTACAGATGTTCAGATTACTTTGACACTTTCTTTATGATTAAGTGGTTTTTCAAATGGATTATTCTTAATGTACTTGGTTTTGTTATAGTATTAGTTTCACTTAATCATAAACAAATTTGGTTTGACCAAATTTTATTTTGTCTTCATAAAAAAGAATTCTTAATATGATTCCTTCCAGGAAAGAACTGAATTTCAAAAGGTTCTGTGACATTGATAGTATTAAGCTACCCTGGTGGAATGCTGACAATGAAAGAAGTAACATTCAGCTCTTAGTGCAAATTACTAATACTTTAAACTGTCAATACTAAGAATTTTTTTTAATAGGTCGTGGAGGACATATGAATTATATATTGACATTTTTAGTATTCTTTTTGTGATTCTAATGCCTTTTCTGCCTTCATATTTTAATGGAAATTTGGTAAGTTATACTTGTTTATCTGTCCTCAGCAATGAAGCCTACAGCTTCTTGGCTGATGATGTTTGCAGCATTTTCTGGTGGTGGTGGTAAGTTAAATTGTCAGTTCAGGCCTGTGCACCATCTCTGTATAGTTTTTTAGCAATCAGCCAATGTTTTCTTGCATGTTTGATTGCATGCCATATATAACCTGTTCTATGACTATTTAATTTTTGATTTATTGTCAGAAATAAGTTTTTTGTTTTTTTTATAATTGAAAACAGATTTCAATTATGGCATGGTTTAATGAAATTTTCTTACAAAGTTTTTTCTGCTTTGTTCAAAAGACTCCATGACGAGTACGTTTCTTGTTATAATCTACATGTATTCACATTTTAGTATTGCTGCATTCTATCCATAAAACTTCTGAGTGTTCCTGTTTTTCACAGGTTACATCACAAATATTAGCCATGTTTTTAGTTTCTTGAGTAAAAGTGTCAGATATTGACATAGGGTGACTCCTTAAGTTGGTATACCAGAAAAGAAACTACGCTCATGATAGAGGGGAGAAATAAAGCAGGGGTGCAGGGCTATTTAGATCCCTGGAAAGCAGTTAGGTTTTAATTGTGTTCTACAATGAAATATAAGTCTCTTCTTTACTTAAATATGTCCAAATAAAACTAAAATTTTTATGTCCAGAAAATGTATACTAAAGGCCAAAACAGAGGAGACTGAACCTTTTAAATAAAAGAACAAACCTTGTCTAAATCTTAAATAATAGAAAACTATTACTTTTGCCTTGAAAACTGTCGTTTGTTTGTTATGAAAGCTACACGAGGGCTATCTGCACTAGCCGTCCCTAATTTAGCAGTGTAAGACTAGAGGGAAGGCAGCTAGTCATCACCACCCACCGCCAACTCTTTGGCTACTCTTTTACCAACGAATAGCGGGATTGACCATCACATTATAATGCCCCCCATGGCTGAAAGGGCGAGCATGTTTGGTGTGACGGGGATTCGAACCTGCGACCCTGGCCACGCCGGGCTGAAAACTGTCAAAAAGCATATTTACATTCATTTCAGTTCTACATTTCAATAATATGTATAATAGATTAATGTGAATAAAAATATATATGCAAATATCATATAGGTTGTTGCAAATATCCTATAGGTTGTTGCAAGTATCATATAGGTTGTTGCAAATATCATATAGGTTGTTGCAAATATCCTATAGGTTGTTGCAAGTATCCTATAGGTTGTTGCAAGTATCATATAGGTTGTTGCAAATATCATATAGGTTGTCAAGAATGTTAAATTTTAAAGTCCTGTGTCATGATAAGAATTCGCTTTTTGACAACAGATTAAAGTAAATATAAAAACTAAATTTCTCCTTATTGTGCTGCAAGTATAAGGTGCTTACCAAATCACTGCTGTAAGAAGTAATGTTATTGCAATGATGGGGTTGGAAATACACAACATTCAAGCAATGGAACAGTTTTGAGATCGGTCACAGAAGTAATGGTAGTGCATGGCATATATTTTTTAAGTGGGAAGGTTTGTCATGACCTGTTATTTAGGGCACTCAACTCAAAATCTGCAGATTGTGGTTCGAATCCCCGTCACACCAAACATGCTCACCTTTTCAGCTGTGGAGGCATTATAATGTGATGGTCAGTCCTACTATTCGTTGCCAAAAGAGTAGCCCAAGAGTTGGTGGTGGATGTTGTCGACCAGCTGCTTTCCCTCGAGTCTATAATTTTTAAGTTAGGGATGGTTAGCACAGATAACCCTTGAGTATCTTTGCATGAAGTTCAAAATAAACCAAACTAATTTAGAGTTCATAGATAATTTGTGCTACCATGCACCATTGATGCTTGTTGTTTCGTAAACTTTGTTTTTTATTCATCAGTTTTAATCATTTGTGGTTTCTACCATCCCTTAATAAAATTTCTGAAACTGCCCTATTCAAGAATCACACTTTTAACAGATTTTATGTAAATTCTGTATTTCCATTAGAATATTTTTATGTAAGATTTTTGAACTTCTTTAGGTTTTTTCTATCTAAAACGTGTTTAAAACATGAGCCAAAAACAAAGATGGATTTACAGAAGGTAAAGGTTAAAATAAGCAGCATACAGCCTGTGTTAAACTGTTTATTATAGCCAATGCAGGATCTGTACAAGTGGTTCTGAAAAGAACTGTTGATTTGAATTCTGAAACAACAAAGTGTTTTACCCCTGCATGGCCTGGTACATACATCCAGGAGAAGGTCTTAACACGCAGTTTCTTTGCTTTCTGCCAACCATCTGGGGACTGACTATGTTAAATTTAAGCAGTACTATATTTATGCAGTTTGTCTTGTGTATGTGTAGATACTGATACAAGAACAAAAATAGTTTATTTCCCTGCTGCTAATCTTCCTTTAACAGTTACTTGTTCTTGCTTATATGGGATAATATTTTTATCTTATCAGTTTGTGCATGCCATTTACTATCTTAAACAGTCTATTAAAGTGTAACCTGACTCAAGCAAATTTTCCTTAATTTTTTTATTTTTGCCTTTCGTATGTAAATGTTTTTTTTTCACAGTGCAGTGTTTGTTTTTAAATTATGGTTTTTATAGATATGTATTATATAACTAACTTTTAAAAGATTAATGTTTGATGAATAGAAAATAGAGATTTTTCATTAATGATTGTTTTCTGCCAATACAAATTGACAATTAACCTATATAAAAAGAATTTCTTAAATTTTCTTTTTAATATACAGCACCAACCTCTCATCAGACCACTCCAGTTTCCACTCCTGTGCTTCCTCGTTTTACTCCTGCGGAACCTCAAAAAGAAAAAAATAATACTGCAGAGGCTCAGAAGAGTTCTCAATTAATCAAAGGAGTATTAAAAGATATACCCAAAAATATTTTAAGTAATGTAAATCAGTTCCAACACAAACAAAAGAAAGGACGAATTGATGTATGGTGGTTATATGATGATGGAGGTAAGTTAAAAATTTTGTTTGAATCCAGCTATTACTGTCACATTTTGTTCATTATTAACATGTGTTTAATATTTCTTGTAAACACTCAAATCTATAATATCCATGACTTCCTCGCTCTTGATTATATATTAAACTTCAGTCTAATTTTCAAATCTTAACTTAAAAAGTTCCCGATAAGTAAGTAATTATTAGAGTTTTGTCTCTTCATAGTACTTTACATGTAGCTCCAAGTTAACATTTTTAGAAATATATCTGTAACTACAGGTCTTACAATGCTCATTCCATACCTTTTAACAACCCGTTCTTTGTGGAGCAGTTGTGAGCTCAGGGTGTTTTCTTTGGCCAACAAAAAGGATGAACTTGATCGAGAACAACGCAAGTAAGTCATTTTGTCTAATTTCCCAAGAATGTAAGAAAAAAATGCAGTATAGTCCTTTTTAATTTAACTACGTATATTGGTTCAATAACAATTATTATGCATATATTTATATATATAAAGATCAAATATTAAATGAATAAATACATAAAACAAACAAACATCATCCAGTGGCCAATATAGATCATCCATTAAAACTCGTGAATATATATATGGTTATAAAATTTATTGTTGTTTTCAAAATGTATGTTCTTATCTATAGATTGTTTTTTTCTGGCTAGTCTGTCAGAAGACGAATACTAATTTTTGTGCAAACTTAAAAAAGTTTCACTATTTCAGAAAACTGCCTGATTCTTTCCAACTGTGCTTCATCCTATCATAAATCTAGCTGTCAATGAGATTGTTTTTAATTAGAAAATAAATGTGTTTTTTAATCAGTGAATTTAGACAGCTAGCTACTAACTGTGCTTGTTTTTCACTAGCATGGCAGCTTTACTGAGTAAGTTTAGGATTGATTACTCAAATGTCATTGTCATCCCAGATCTCATAAAGCCTCCTCAGCAATCAAGGTAAGTATGGTACAGAAACTAATAGATAATCTAGCTGCAATATAACATAATAAACTTTACCTCAGATCAGGATAAGTGTATAATAATATATATTGGTCAAGAAGCTCATGTTTTGATATTTGCTCATTTAGATATTTTTTTTTGTATTAAGGATATGCTTAAACTACATTATATAGATAATAATTTATATAATGCTCTTTGAAATTTTCACATAACTTGTGGTGTATGCAATCATCAATTATAACACACAAACAAACAAAATCTGTTTTTCATAATCTATTCAATCAGGAAGTGTTTCAGTTAGCAAAAATGAAACTACACACTGGGGAAAACCTCCCCAACCAGTGGAAATTCCTTTCTGCTCTTACTCGTATTCATCATGCATGACATTGGAGGCATAATTTTCTACCATATGCTTATGTGCCTACAGTTGGCTAATGAGTGAATATATCAATGCATATTCAAGATTAGAGGAAATTAGATCATATTACCATAGTGACAAAAGCTAAATCCCACAGTGACAAAAGCCAGACTAATTAATCATAGATATTATATAAACTTCACCATTATAACAGACCTAATGGTATTCCTGTGGTTTGCTGACCCAAGCTGTGCTGATGAGCCTTGAATAGACGAAACTGCAGTCCACAGCAGATGGTACGGCCAATCAAAGAATAATATTAGGCCTCTACGTTACAGATTCTCTTTTCAATTTTGCCCCTGGTGAAAAAGAAATCTTTAATTAATAGTTACATTGCTTCTAATAATTGATCATTGGCATGACCAATCATCAAATATAATTTTATAACCAATTCTGATCACAGTAATTTGTTAAAGTAAACTATTTATGATCCTTTCATGACTTGTTCTAAAAATTTATAAGCTATTCATCAAGCTTTTTTGTTATATTTCTAAGTCTTTTCATTGTTGTTTTCATAATTATTGTCATTTTTTACCACTTGTTTCTATGGTATATTTAGGTGAAATTGTTTTCATAATTATTATCATTTTTTACTACTTGTTTCTATGGTATATTTAGGTGAAATTGTTTTCATAATTATTATAATTTTTTACTACTTGTTTCTGTGGTTTAGGTGAAATTGTTTTCATAATTATTATATGCAGTCTGATTCAAGCTCGGATAAGTAGGAGTTCAAGATCTGTGAATCGATGATACCATGCAGTCTGATTCAAGCTCGGATAAGTAGGAGTTCAAGATCTGTGAATATGTCTGGCTGTTATGTTTGTTATAAATTGGTGGACAGCTTTGTTAACTTATGCTATAATCTTGGCTTTGTATATATTCATATCTCACAGGAAACCAGGTAGGTGTATATAAGTGGGTGAATTAATAAATTCATACAAGTACCAAACCGTTCTTTACTGATTCATTTCTTTTGAGAAAGGAAAATCTTGCTGCAATCAGCAAAAAAAAAAATTGTCAAATAATCAAATAGTCTAAGTTTGTAGAGTTTTTATTCTGTTATTAACTGATTTCTCTGGTAAAGCCAATCAGGGATTTTATGAAATACAAGTTAACTCAAATGATTTATAAAAGCATTTTATCAGCTAGAATAAGATGAAAATCATTTTTCAGTAGTCAAACGTGTGTAACTGAAAGAATATTCATAAACTTCTGGTTTAGTAGTAATTCCTTCTGTGCTGGTAAACGTAGTTTTTGTCAAGTGTTTATTGTGTGAAATACTTATGAAGTTTATATATATATTGATTTTATTATCCAGTGTTTAAGAGATGGTTAGAATATAAACTGATTGGTAATTTCTAGAACATTTCAATCCTATTTGCAATGATATGCAGATACATGCATTAATTAAGTAATGAACCGTATATTAGTTAATTTCTAATGACTTTCTACTTTTAACTAAATTCAAATAATAATGTATGTATTATGTAAAAAAATCATGACTATAAAGAATTATTTCAGGCTAAGAAATTTGTGTTTCGATACAAAAGTAACAGATTGAACACAAAATTGTACGAAATTATTTAAAAATCTTGAAAGAACTACAACAATACCTGATTGTAAACTTTCAGATGTGAATTGGGGCTCTTCTACTCAAGCCCACACATACAAAGATGCCCTTACTTCTGTTCTCAATTTAAACCAGATTCAAGAACACGTAAAAAACTACAGGTAAGTATTGCTGTGTTTTCTGTTACTGAGATTTGAAGTACTTTTCTTGTGGATTTGACATCATAAATTTAACATGAACATACTGAAGTTTGCAGTTTGTTAAAATGTGTTATCAAATGTAAGTATTTTGTATAATGGGATTTAACTTTTCTACTAACCTCTAATGAATAAATTAGTTTGGTTGGTTTTTTTTAGAGCAAAGTCACACTAGGCCCACCTGCTGTGTCCACCGCAGGAAATCGACCCCCCCTGATTTTAGTGTTGTAAATCTGTAGACTTATTACTGTCCCACTGAGGGATGAATAAATGATAAATATAATAGGGATGAGTATATGAGAAATATAAAACTTAGTTTAATTTCATCATAGATAGGGAACTTTGAAATCTTACATATTTAATGCTTATAATTAATTTTATTTTGTTTTTACACATATCCAGACTGTAAACTCACTAACTGAATATTGTTCAAATGTGTAACTGTCTTTCTGCAATACAGTAGTTTACAGATTATGCTGTTTTATGCATTTTGACAGTATGTACGTGATGACATATTTTATTGTTAATTTTATTTTAAGATTAATTAATTAGCATCAGCAATGAAACAGATTCTTCAATTGAATGTTTTTCAATACTACGGTAAAGCTGGTCATTAGCGAAGTAAAAATTAAGGTGACATGAAACAAGGTAAAGAAGCCTAATTGTGTTTTCTTCTCTAAAGCATAAATGTGCACAACGAGTGAAGTAAAGGTGAATTCATCCAATTTATTTCATTACTGAACGTATATTTTATTCATTAGAAGCATAGCTCCTAATTGAACTCTTTGTGCTTAGATTTTTCTTAAAGGTTAACTGGGCCCGGCATGGCCAGGTGGTTAGGGACGCTCAACTTGCAATCTGCGGGTCGCGGGTTTGAATCCACATCCCACCAAACATGCTCGCCCTTTCTGCTGTGGGGCATTATAATGTGACGGTCAATCCCACTATTCATTGGTAACAGAGTAGCCCAAGAGTTGGCGGTGGATGGTCATGACTAGCTGCTTTCCCTCTAGTCTTACACTACTAAATTAGGGATGGCTAGTGCAGATAGCCCCTGTGTAGTTTTGCACGAAATTGAAAAAACAAACAAATAAAATAAGATTATCTGTGGATAAAATTTCTTTAAGTTGAGTTTAATACAAGAAAATTAAGTTATACTACTCTTTGAAGTGGTGCACACACATCTACTTAAAAATTAGTTATTGTTCTCTATCAGGGAAATGAAAATGTGTTTTTTTTGCATGAATGATAATAAGTTTTAAAACAGTTACAAATATTCAAGCGCTTTATCAGTTATTTCAAGGCATATAGATTAACCTTAAGACTTGAATATTTTTTGTATTGTTTTAGTGTAATCTTGAATATAAAATGCAATAATCAATACATTTATATTTGAATCTTTGCATAATTTTAAGATATATTACCTCATAACTTACAGGCCTCAGATTTTGGTGTTGACAGGAAAACCTACAAGTAGGCCTTCCCTAATAGATTTTGTTTACAGCATCACCAAGAAACTAAGCCTTATGATCTGTGGAGATGTTCATAAAGTAAGTTTTTCTACGAATTGTAAGTGGATTATCTAATGGTTTGACTTGTGTATGCGTAATGGTCACAAGAGGTTCCAGGTACATATTATAGATGTAGCAATTCAGTGTAAATTTAACATAAAGTTCTTAAAAACGAAATTTATTTTTTGCCTTCATTTACTTTTACCTTTTTACAACTAGCTAAATTGTGCATTAAGCTTTAGTACTTAACAATTTTAATAAAAAGCATTAGATTTTGTTTTGTGCTACTTTAGATTTGAAAAATTCTTCTGAATGCACGTAAGGTTATTATAATTTAGAGGACTGGTGAATAAAAAAATTACAGGTAACGTTTATTGTAAAATTACATTTAAAACTCGCAAAACCAGTCAAGATTTTGTGAGTTTTAAATGTAATTGTACGATAAGTGTTACGTGTAATTTTCTTTATTCATCATTCTTCTAAATTATATTGTTCTTACCCAGGTTTATGAGAAACATTTTTTTTGTATCTTAATTAGGAAAGATTAAATCAGCGAGAACGGGATAATCTTAACCGGGAAGCGTATCAATACTTACAGAAGAGAAAAGTCAAAGCCTTTTACAGCTTGATAGAAGAAAGCAGCTTCTCGAGAGGAGTGAGGTCCCTTATACAGGTTTGTGTAACACCAAACTTCCAAATCTGTTATACACTGTTATCATGAGAGTAAAATTGAAGCTTTTTCGCAGTGTATTACTTAAGGAAAAGATTACTGGTTTTCTCTTAAGTTTCTTTCTTGACTCTATTTACATGGTGGGGGTAAAGGTGTACTTGCCATAATGACCTTTTACAGAGTACCATTCAACAAGGTATTATGTATTTGATGTCAGAATTATCAACTATTCATTTTACTATATATTAATAACTTAGTGACAGTTCATGGTAGAGAAGAGAAAATACCAGATACAATATACAGGGTTGCTGAAAAAAAAACATCAATCAATATGCATTTTGGAGGTTCTATGCAATGTGCCAACAGCATGAAGGACAAAAAGTATTTTTATTTTACATATGAACATCATCTTGAACTCCTACTTATCAGAGCCTGAATCAGACTGCATGGTAGCATCAATTCACAGATCTTGAACTCCTACTTATCAGAGCCTGAATCAGACTGCATGGTATCATCGATTCACAGATCTTGAACTCCTACTTATCCGAGCCTGAATCAGACTGCATGGTATCATCGATTCACAGATCTGAACTCCTTCTTATCAGAGCCTGAATCAGACTGCATGGTATCATCGATAACTGCACCTGACAAGCTAATCCACATGTTGTAGTACTTGTAAGCTGGACGGAAACCTGCAAACAAGTTATTTTCGTTAGTAACTATATATATATATTCATGTGTAATTTACATAAATTGTATGCTGTATAAAAATAATATCTAGAATAAAAGTTTTGCAAGGATCATTAGCTTCTTCTTTTCATTTTGATTTTCTCACTTTGTTATGATAAATGTATATTTTGTGAACTGAAAGACCTAGAAAGATCGTGTCTCTCCCTCAACAAATAGACACTATTTCTACTTCATCCTTCTGGAATATGGGTGGTCCAATGATGAATGATTTATTTTTTCTTATGCTTTTATTTTACTATATTGAAACATAATGACTTGGTATGGTAAATGTAATGTAATGAACATTTAGCACATTGAAGTTATCCATAAATTTAAGAGCAATAAAATTATAGCAATGTATAATATCAGTGTTGTCTTCTTTTTTAAGCAACACATGTTTGCAAAATAACTCAAAGGGTGGATTAGAAACTACTCTCTGAAATTTTTCAGACATCTGAATGTTAGCTTAAACTTTACAGTAGTGAAAAGACACTGAAAACCTCAATATATAAATTATCAGTAATCACAGAAAAAGTTACAGTATAAATTATTAACTACAAATATTGTTAGAAAGTAAGTAGAATTATGCTGAGCAGTTATGTTTTAGCTTCAAATGAAACTTTATGCATGTACTTTTAATTTTCTTTTCAAAGAGTGAGAGAAATAAAATTGCTTAGATTTTAATTATGTTTACTTTTGCATAGAACCTAATGCCTTGTAATGTTATAAATATATATGTTCTGGCATTGACAACAATAAAAAAAATATCAATGGTTTTACTTCATTATAATTCCTGATAATTATGATATTTTACACTGAACTATCAGATCTTAAATTCTTTATTCGGTTCTATTACTACAATATAAGAAGTATAAATATGATTGAAATCTTTCAGTGTTTTCCACACTGAAAAATAAACATACTTTGACAACTTTAAGAATACAAATATTCACAGAAAGAAATTTTATAAAAGAAGCTGATTATAGTCACTAGTACTTCAAAATAATTTACTGTTAAACATTTTATTGAATATATAATGGTAACCATGTCATAATTATTGTGCAGTTTATACAAACATATATATGCAGACTGAATTCTTAAAAATAAACAAGAAAATATTCACTATAATGTAATGACAGGCAAAATCTTGTTTAGTTTATATTTTGTTAAGAAAAGTAACATACATTCAAAAAGATATAAATTTATAAATACATAGACACACAAACACCATACCAGCAACAAGAGTTAAACAGAGTTAAGAACTGTTTTGTAAACAAATGGTTTCAACTTACCTGGAGACCTGGAGTATGTTGCATGAAAACAGGAAAAGTTAATCAAACAATATGCAGCAAGGAAGAAGTTAGATATAATTGGTGCTATTGCATTTAACTCTCCTGTGAAAAAAAAACTAAACTCAGAGATATACAAAGATTTGACAATTGAATGTATAATTTAAAATGCTGAAAAATATAAAAAATACCCAAAAGATTCTGATTATAGTACTAACATATTTGCATAAAAAACACAGAAATATTTTATACTTTTAGGCACAAAAATACAATACAAAGAATTAGATTATAACAGAATAAAAGCTAAGACTCATAAGTGAACAAATAAAGGATAGTTTAACAGCTATACAATACAATACAAAGAATTAGATTATAACAGAATAAAAGCTAAGACTCATAAGTGAACAAATAAAGGATAGCTGTTAAACTTTAAAATATTCCATCAACTTTTCTGAAAATGTATGATAATTTTTATATTTTAGGGCTAAGATTAAAAAACTACATAATAATTAAAACATGTATATATGGTTTATAATTATTATCATTAAACAAAGCAAGATTTCCTTTTCAAAAATACATAATACAAGAATCTTCTGAAACAAAAAAATATTATCATACCAATAATGATGCAAGCAAGAGCTATCACAAAAGCCAAAATGTATCCTCGTCTTGGTTCTTCATTTTTTCCATATCCTTTGGCAAAATACTCAAATTTGGGGAAAAGTTTATCTTTGCATAGAGCCTATAAAAGTAATAGCATGCTATTATATATTTGATACTTATTTTAAATTTACACTATACTCCTTTCTATAAAAAAAACAAACAAGTTATATTTCCTTGAAAGTCCATTATTTATATTGCAAAAAAGAGTTATATAATATTCCAAGTGAAACAAATTTAGTGAAATTTGTTTAATTATTTAATATATAATTTAAAACAATATATTTAAAAAGATTACAAGGTCAAACAGAAATTCAAAATTACCTGGAAAACCTTTGGAGCACTAACAAGACTAGCAAGAGCAGAGGACAATGTTGCTGCAAAAATTCCAGCATAGATTATGGGACCAAATGCTGATATTAATTCCATAGCCTCAAGAAGAGAGAGAAGTAAAAGTAAAAAAAAAAAAAGTTAATAAAATCATAAGAGAAATGTAGTTAGAGTGGGAGAATATAGCTTTACTGAATTAAACATGGTGGTAGTGACAGAGGTAATAGAAATATAAACTTGCATGTTATGTATAAGAAAATGAATAATTTTGCACTAAATGAAAGAATAGAGTAGCTTCTGGAACAAGAATTCACCTGATAAAAGTTCATTAGCCCATAAGGACATATCCCTTCAGATCCTAATGAGCAGTTTCGTATCAATTCAGTTGTTCCATTTACAACAAAAAACTCTTCTCCATTGGCATCACGAAGAGAAACACAACCTGCAATCACAGCAAACAATATGTACGATATTCCCGTAATGAAAATGGCTAGAAATGTTCCTTTGGGAATGGCCCGTTGTGGATTCTAGAAAACAATAAAATATAATAACATTCTGTGTACTCTGTTCAGATTTATGGAAAGCAATAAATTGTAAGTAATTCATTATAGAGATCAATGTGGTAAAAAATGTTCACTTCAGCTCTATAGGTTGCTTGACCAACACAGTTTTTGTAAGTAAAATGTAACAATTTAGTAATGTATTTTCTACAATAAACATAACTGTGTCACAGAGATAACCAATTTCCCATCTGTGACACAACAAAAAACATCTATTGAAAATCTTACGTAATGCATATTCACATTACAACCCACAACATTTAATATGTTTTAATGGATGTTCATGGCTGATGCCTTGTTTTTGATTTCTAAAAGAAAATGGTCAAAATACCGACAGCAACTAAGTCCGTCTTATTATCTTCATTTTAATTAAGAGTGAAAATAACATTGTTCAATACCACTTATTAAGCCCCAAATGTAACATAATTTGTAGATTACTTAACTGTATTAATCTGATACTCAAATAATAACATAACCTATAATCAAAATTATTTTTAGTCACTATAAGGAGACAGAGTACAATGGTCACAGATATATGATAATTATTAGGTGGTGTTGTACACTTACTGTGTATACTACATATAAAATATTTCCACAGTAGAATACTTGTATTAAAATCAATGATTTAAAACAGTTATGTTACAGGTTATAAAGACAAATAGCTCACAAATATTCAGATCAAGAGGTATTAATTTTTACTTTATGTTTGTTTCTTATATTATGAATATGCATTGAATTTACAGCAATAATGTGAATAACAAAGATTTAATGCTAGAATTCAAAAATAATTTCAAAACATGCATGATTACAATGTCATTGACCAACACAATATTGTTCTAGCTAATTTGTGCATTTAATATAAACATTGATGAAAATAAACAGCTGCAGAAGTAAAAACCAACAATGATCACACAACTCAATATTCACAAAAAATAATCAATAATGCAATATACATGTAAAAATTGCTTAAAACTTTACTGTTTAAAACAATGCTCAAAATGAAAAATAATGACTATATTTTTTCATTACTTTTATATACTATAACAGCCACATGTAAAAAGTAAAATGCATAGAACAATTATACTGACATGGTTCATTTCTGTAGTAAATGAAAACATTTTTGTTTGGTTTCCTGCATCCCTAAGTCTTTCTACATGCGTACAAACTTTCACAGAACATTATTAACAAATATTTTCAATACAGTCCACTTTTGTAGCTGCTAAGTACTTGTACAGTACATATGATACATTTGTTACATATTTTTAATTACTGTCAATCGTTACATACAACTTCTTACTTTCTTTGTACCTGAAATGCAAAGAACCATTTTGAATTTATTACTATTATTATTATTTTTTTAATTTCTGGATGTTTGAGTACTTAAAACTTACAGCTAGATCCCCACTGATATTAGCACCTGCTAAGATTCCTGTTGCTGCTGGGAAAAATACTGAAAACACAGAGAAAAAGTCCTCTCCTCTGAAAGCAGGCTGAATGTTTTCTCTGATTGTAGCACCTAACAACAAATCAAATGTTTTCAATTCAAAATCAATTGATTTCACAAAAATTTAAATGTATGTCTAGGATGAATACATGAAGAAAAAAATTGAGTAAACTGTTTTAACATGGGCAAAAAAAAGCCAAAAAATTGTGTATCATATAATTTTTGTATTTGCTCAAGATAATTTTCATCAAATATTTGTAGGGAAAATGTAAATCAACAATTAAAAATTTATGACATTACTTGTTTTTATTCTTTAGGACCATAGTTACCAAAGTAGAAATTGGTAAAGACAAAGAAAATTGCAACTGTACATGAAAACTGACAATATATTGATTGCTGAATTCTTGTGTATAATTGAAAAACAACTTGTGAAATTTAATTTTTTTGCTGAAGTTTTAAATAATGATATTTTATATAATTGTATATATTGGTATTTGTCATACTAGTATGGGCAAGTAAAATTAAAATACTAATGAAAACACGTTACCAAACATTACAGCACTACTTCAGTATGAATAAAAATTAATACATGTAAAGATATAGATCACAATTTGAAATATATACATAAATTATATATATATATATGGGCAGGTAAACAACAGATACAACTTATATCCCCTAAGCATTGATCAGAGTTGATCAAACTATAATTTTCTCAGTGTGATCAGTTTCATTTTTCTAAAACAAAAATTAATAAAAAATAACAAACAGAGCTTAGCATTCCAGACTTCTTGGCATCATTAGTTACACAATCTATAAAAATACAACAACACTTAATTTTATGAACCACCAACTTGAAAATTTCATCATGCATTGAAATAAGATAATCAGATTTGACGACAAGAATACAGTACAGCATGACTTAAAAGTACGTCTTTGATTAATCTGACAATATTTTGAGTTAGTTATTGAAAGAAACCAAATGCTAGACCAATGCTCTTTAAAAGTTATGAATGTTTTTACTTTTTGGATCTATAATTTATGTCCCATAATCTATTTGCTTATCATTGTTTATTTTATCAGCTTGAAAAGCACAAAATAACTTAAGTCAGCTTGGTTGTTTTTTTTATATTTATGAGTAAACTGCTTCTACACACATGTATACTCTACTTATGTTACATTAATTAAAAACTTGTTAGGCTTTCATTAACTAATTTACCACTTACTCATATTTTCTATTCTTCTACTTATCTGTGATTTCTGATACAAAGACACACACAGAAACACTGTTAAACATTTTATAGCATGAATTTCTTATTTAGATAAATAAAAGAAATGTCAAAAACTTTTGATCAAGAAAACCAAAAATATTTAGCATGAATTCACTTATTAGTTTATTAAAGTATCTCAACACTACACATATGAAGAGAACAGAATACATGTACAACACTAGAAATACTTACCATCCCAACCCACAAACCCTCTAGCCTGTTGGGTGACATTTGGTGAAAGGACACAACCAATCAAAAAGTCCCCCATGGCAGTCAAAAGTATAATCAGCAAAACAATTTGGGCCTAAATGAAAATTTATCATTTTGGTCTATTAGAGACATTCGTGATTAAAAAAAAAGGATATTATTTTGGAATAAGTCTATTGCTCAAAATATAAAATTCAATTACTTTAAAATATTAAATTATCTAAAAACAAGTTCATATTATGAATAGAAATTAAAATTTTATGAACCACTTCAACATTGATTAACAACCATATATTAAAAGTAGGCAATTTCACTGTGTTAAAATACATAATATACTAAATAGTGTACTGAACACTAAAAATACAATATAGTAATTTTTCTTAGTGTTACATACATGTTTATTTTTTATAAAATGTTATGTTCTTTTGCATCCCACACAAGTTAGAGTTCAATATTAACCTGAATATAAGATAAGCTATGGCTACCTTACCTGTAAAAGTTGTTTGCTAGAGAGCTCTACTGACACTGATATATATATGTTGTATTTTTGGTTTTATTTCTTTTTAAGCACTGTGCCCACTGTAGGGATCAAACTGAAATCTGTAGTGCCCTTAGCCGTCAATCTCAACCATTGAGCCACAAAGTGTACACAAATGTTATGTAAATTGATTTTCAGAAATGTACATTAATTGGTAAAACTTTCAAAAATACACATGTAACTAAATTAGCCAGCAAAAGAACTAATATGCACAAAAAAATCTGCTTCAGACAAACACTTAGGGTCAATCTTCCCAAAGTTGTAGCTATTATAGATATTATAATTTAATGAATGAGTTGCATAATTGGTAAAAAAAGAACATATGTCCAGTTTATATTTATACTTTAAGTTACACTAAATGTATAGATAACTGTCTAAACTAACCTTCTATGATGAAATAGTGACAAGTTTTATGTATGGACCAAATTTGATTTTTATTTAAGTGTCTAATCAAAGTAATTTTTAATTAAATTACCTTTGATTCCCACTGAGTTCCAATCAAAGCTATTCCTAGTAAAACTAATACTGTTGCACTTCCAATGATGCGAACATCATTCATCCCACCATCAATAATAACTATGTTAAGAGACTGGAAAAAAAACAACAACAACAACAACATATAATTCAAGATATGTAATAGAATGAAAAAAACAAAAAACCCTTAAACACATTACTTTATCATCATATCAATAAATTACATTTACAATAATGAAATATTTGAAAAAGAGTAATTGCTAACCATGGTATAACAAGTCATAACCTGCTTTTATTGTGAAAAAAAAAGTAAAATTATGTCCAGGTGTCATGTAAGCCTCAATTTTTAATGATACAGAAAAACACAGTAACTTTCTCAAAACATAGAAAGAGACAGTTATAGCTATATCATTACTGCTACGAGGAATTGTTGAAACATATTGTTGAAATAGTACATATATATATATTAGATTAATAAAACATGTAATGCTATTTTAATCTATTTTTTTACTTTATTGTTGAGCAAATACCTTTCAATTTAAGCCAAAGATAAAGTTTTAATTTCACTATCATAGTGTGTGAAATATATATATATATTCATGGATTCATTTTAAAGGAAAACAGAAGTAAACTGTATGAAAGTTTTGTTATTTGAAAGCTACTACATTGATATAACTGTGATTAACCTAAAATGTTACAAAAAGGAGTACCAAATAATCATATTGTTATAATAACAACTTAATACACAGATCAATCAGCATCAGTCTCAAGTGTATTAACATCTTAATGCCATTTTCATCATCATTCTAAAATAATTGAATGGTTTGTACAGTTACAATAATCAATGGTTAGATGTATGCAGGCACAAAATTATTAGAAGAAGTCCTGCAGCTACACACTGTCATTTTCTAACTTGTTTACACTGAATGTCAGTGTAATAGAGGTGAGTGATATCCTTCACTTTAATGTGTACATCTGCATTAATCTAAAGTATTCTATTGATAAAATATTCATCCATCTTTCAATTTTGACATCAATTTTGATAGTAACTACCACATAACTGACATTATGTGACTGATTTTATTAAAAGCTTTCTTTGTGCAAATCAATATCAAACCTTTCTTTACACACATATTCTATAACAATATAAGGTTATTCTTATGAAAGAAATAATAATATTTCAATTTTTGCCTGAAACTGAGGAAATACAACTAATGCATTAAAAATGTCTATAAAACACATTGAGATGCAAAATGTTTTACACAACACAGCTTTGGACCCATACACATGAGAAAAAATATTACTTGCAAACTGTTATATCCTGATCTCCAGCAGTATGAACATTTTAAGATATCTAACATAACTTGTCTCAGAAAACCAGAACTAAAAATATTTTTCTGTAATCAAAATACATACAAATCTCTTAGAATTTCACTTAAAAATGCATGACAGCTTACCACAAGCAAGTCTCTTAGGGTTTCCCCAAATCCAACAACATACATGGCCACAGCAACTGCATTTGCCAATGAGAAGATCAAACCTATAGCTCCCCCAAATTCTGGTCCCAAACTCCGTGAGATCATATAATACGATCCACCTACGAATACAATACTGATAATAAATATTTGGGTGAAACATATTAACTCAATCACGAACAGTGAGCACCTTCTAGGTGTTGAGTGTATTCCTACAAGTCCAATTTAAAGATGTAATGACAACAACTATTCTATTTCAACAATTATTAACTAACAAGTATTTTAGAATTGATATCTTGTAATTTTGTTATAGTTACTTTTGTAATTCACAAAGAAAAATGGAAACGTATTCTAAAATTTCATATCTTTGTGGCTCTCAGGAGTTTCTTCTGTAAATAATGCATTTATAGATTTGTTTAGAATTTTTTCTCCACACTCCAGAATATCTGTTTACATTTGCTTAGGGACTACCATCCATTGAGAATATAATTATCTATGTTTGTTCTTCACATGATTTTCCTTCTCCGTTAGTGGTTTTATTACTACAGCTCTTTCTTCCTACCCTTTTATGATGTCACAATATGTGGTCTGAACAGCTACTAATGAAGCTTGAATTGAAAACTAATATAGGAAACATTTAAATTTGATTGGATTAAGCAGATTATAAACCATTTATAACAATGCAGATTAAGTAAAATGGTTTAAGAAGTAATTTATGGTTTCTCAGGTTACTGACTAATTGGAGCTCCTATAGCAGTGAACAATAAAATCTAATTGGAAGTACAGAAACATTCAAGCAAACAGTTGGGAATCTATTTATAGTTTCATTTGATGTTATTTTCTGTTCATGTTACATTATATATGTTTAAGAGTTACAGACATTTTCTTCTCCGAGATCTCAAGTAAGCTTAGTTAGGTTAAGCAAGTATGGTAGGTGATAAAATATTTCAAGGACTCAAATCCTTATTCATTAAAAATTACACAGGCCTGTGATGGTTTTATTGTTTTTGAAATTTTTACATGTTCTACAGTAATTCCGGTATGCTGAATTTGAAAATGATATCCATTTTTGTCCATCACGTACAGATTTTTCACAAAATGTTTTAACACAATACATGAAAGAATACGTAGTTTTGGGACTAAAAGACATAGATTTCACAAAAGAAAAATCAGAAAGAATGAGGATGCATATTCATTTGACATCAGTTTGTTTGTAATTTTGTAAACAAATGTAATAATAAAAAATGTTTATTATGGTAAATGAAATAATAACTTGATCTCAGTAAGATTTTTTTTTCTTCCCGATTTGTAAAGAATCCTTACAGGATAGAAAAAAAGGAATACTATTTTTGAAATCTCTGCAGCTGAATTATGGAAAATCTGTTATTAAAACCAAAACAGCTTTTATGAAGTTTAAATTCACAGGCCTGTGTTATTGTT